TAAATAGCTTTAACTTGTGTTTTAATAGCTTTAGCTTGTGTTTAAATAGCTTTAGCTTGTGTTTTTTGCTTTAGCTTGTATTTTGATGGCTTTAGCTTGTATTTTAATGGCTGTAGTTTGTTTTGAATGCTTTAGCTTTTGTTTGAGCACTTTAGCTTGTGTTTTAATAGCTTTAGCTTGTGTCATGATGGCTTTAATTTGTATTATTATGGCTTTAGCTTGTGTTTTAATAGCTTTAACTTGATTTTTTTGGATAAAGCATGTTTTAATGGTTTTTGCTTGTGCTTTGATTAATTTTTATGGCTTTATTGCATTTTGAATTTTTTTGGAGTACTTTAGCTTGTGTCATGATAGCTTTAGCTTGTATTTTGATAGCTTTAGCTTGTGTTTTAATGACTTTAGCTTGTTTTTTATGGATTTAACATGTTTTGATGGCTTTAGCTTGTGTTTTAATGGCTTTAGCTTGTGTTTTATGGATTTAACATGTTTTGGTGGCTTTAGCTTGTGTTTTAATGGCTTTAGCATGTTTTTAATACTTTAGCTTGTGTTTTAAGCCCTTTAGCTTGTGTTACGATGGCTTTAACTTGTGTCATGAATGCTTTAGCTTGTGTTCTGCTTGTTTTACCTTTCATTAGGTTTAGCTTGTTTAACCAACTTTAGCCAACCCATTCAGAACTCAGCATCCAGGCTGAATTTGGTCAGAAAATATATTTTTCTTGTTTCTTCGGCTGTCAGTCTGAGCTGAGGGGTTATATTTAGTCTAGCCATGGGTTCATGTGGAACCTCTTTCCAGGCGGACCCGTTGAGTCTTTCATGGTCTGAAGTTCTGCCTTCGGTCGGGTTTACAGCTCGTTTCAAACGTGGTGGTTTAGGCGGGGTCGGCTGTTTTTAGCGGCCTAAAGTTTCTGCCCCACCAAGATCTCTTCTTCTTCTTCTCCTCCTGAACCCGACGCCGCTCGCTCCCTGCTCCTCTCTGAAACTGTAAGTTGTTTCAATATTTTTAAAAACCTGGAGGGTTGCTTTAAAACGAGGAAGCTGTAAATGCGACTGAATATTTCTGATGAACTTCTTGAAACAATCAGAGGTCCGATTTGTTGGATGAATTAAACTTTTGTTTTCATTTCCTCTGAGGGAAAACCAAACATCAAGTCTTGTTCTGTTGCTATCTGGGACATGAACCCCCCGGAGCCTCATTCTGAGTTGTTTATTCTTCATTTGCATCTTAGAGACCCCATCACCGAGGGTTCAGCTGATTTGATGAATAATGTTGAGTCAAAGCATCCCACACAGCTAAAGAAACCTGGAATCCTTCGTGTTTTTATTCTGTGCTGCCATACAAAGTGGGTGATAATGTTTTTGCCTGTGTGATGTGTTGTGTTAGCAAAATATTTCATGAACCAGTGGTTTTTCTGACCAAAACCATTGGATCTGCAGCTATAACTGGTTACCAGCTAACTGACTTTAGCGAACAAAAAAAGGCTATAATTCAGCCATGTTTACAGATATTAAGCTGAAATTTGGTGTGGTAGTAGCTGAGAGTCACCCAGCTCTAACAGATCTTTGGGACGAGAGGTGGCGGGCGATATGCATTCATTGTGGGACCGTTTGTGGGATGATTTCAGTGGCAGACAGACTGTCTCCTCTCCAGCAAACGTGTGACTCATTTTTATGTTGGATTAAAAATATTTCGGCTGCCTGAGTCAGAACATGAAGCCTAATTTTAGCTGCTGCAGGATCAGGAGACGTTCCCACCTCAACATGTTAAGAACAAGCATCTTCCATGTGTTTTGTAAAATTCAGGGAGGAGAATTTAGATCCGAAAATGTTGCTGTGTGATTTATTCTGCGAGGCACAGCATCTGCTGCCGGGCCGAGCCAATGAGTTAATTTCAGGAAGTTTAAACGAGATATTTTCAGCTCGGCCGGCCCAAACGACTGCTGCTGGTTCTGTTTTCCACTGTGGTCGCCACCATCTGTCTTTGAGCTCTGGGTCTCCTCTGCAAGGCTACGTCCTCGGTACTGGTTCGGTTCTGAGAGGTATGAAACAATTCAGAGGTCCAGTAGTAGCAGAGGATACTCTGATGTTTAGTCTCATTCAGAGGACTTTATTCTGTTTCTTCCTTCGTCTGTTAGCAAAATATCTCATAAATGGATTTAGAGATTGTTACAAATTGATCATTGGATCTATAAAACAGAATACAAATAAATGAATAGAAACCAAAACAGCTAGACTTTTATTTTGCAGGTAAATACATTTTGCCTCCCATCCAGGAGGATTTCTCCAATTAAAAATGTCTGAAGATTGTAGAAATCCAGGATTTATATGATGTTATGTTCCTGGATTTACATGCAGATTAAACACATGCCCCTCCCTCCTGAGGGTCATTATCTCCCTTCCTTCCCTCCTTAGGGTCATCGGTCATTGTCTCCCACCCCTCCCTCCTGAGGGTCATCAGGGTCTTTGTTCTCCCCCGCCTCCCGCCCGAGGTTCATCAAGGTCTTTGTCTTCCTCCCCTTCCTGCTGAGGGTCATCATGGTCTTTGTCTCCCTCTCCTCTCATCTGAGGGTCATCAAGGTCATTATCTCTCTCCCCTCCTTCCTGAGGGTCATCAGGAATCTTTGTCTCCTCTATCCATCCTGAAGGTCATCAGGATCTTTGTCTTCTTCCCCTTCTTGCTGAAGGTCATCAGGGTCTTTGTCTCCCTCCCCTCCCTCCTGAGGGTCATCAGGGTCTTTGTTAAACTGGCTCATGAGGAAATGTTGTGGTCACCCACATAGAGGTGTGAATTAGAGTGAAACTGACCTGGGATACTGACACATCTCACCTGCTTTAAGTGTAAAATCTCCTGCCTCCCTGATCCGTCGCCTTGATTATCCGTTTTGTGTTACACCTCTTGACGGATGAATGGACCAGAGCTCATCTCAGGACTGCTGCAGTCTTGCAGGTCAGACAGAAGACGGGACACGTCCCCATCAAATGTGACGCATAACCATGACTTTACACATGTGCCCTTTTCACGGTGCCTGTTTGAACCGGAGCTGGTGCTGGAAATGTGTAGTAGTCATTGTCTCATAAGGACCAAGTGTAACGTTTGTCTTCGTGTCCAAAATCAATTTCTTGTCCCAGAAAAGTTGCTTTAAATGAAACCAGGGTTTATTTGATCTGTGTTTACCCTTGTGCATTGTCTCTTTATGTCAGTAGCAGGTATATTCCCTTTAGTTTAATGGATGTAATGATGGCTTGTGCTTTTTAGACTTATAAAAATGTTTTGATGTTTGATCATGAAGAAAAGGCTAACAGACATGTAACTGTTTTAGACCTCAGGGAACCAGAAGGTGACACTTTATTTTGAAGTAAAATAACTGAAATCCACAGAATCATCATTTGATACATTGCCTGGATGATGGATGCATGGATGGATGCCTGGATGATGGATTGATGTTCAATGATGGATGGATGTTGATTGATGATGATTGATGTTGGATAATGTTGGTTGGGATGGAGAATGACTGGATGTTGGATAGATGATGAATGATGTTGGATGGATGGATGATGATGGATGTTGGATGGATGATGGATAATGTTGGTTGATGGATGGATTGAGGATGGATGGATTATGTTGGATGATGGATGTTAGATGGATGGATGATGAATGATGTTGGATGATGTATATTAGATGTTAGATGGATGGATGGATGGATGATGGACTGATACTGGATGCTGGTTGGATGTTGATGGATGATGATGGATGTTGGATGATGGATGGACAATGGATGATGTTGGTTGATGGCTGGATGGATGCTGGATGTTGGATGAATGGATGGATGAATGATGGACTGATTCTGGATGCTAGATGGATGATGTTGGATGATGGATGTTAGATGGTGGATGTTGGTTGGATGGATGATGTTGGATGATGGATGTTAGATG